TGATCTAGTTCAACATAAATCTTGGGTGCTTGCGGGTGTGAAGTATCCCCAACATAGAACTTGTGCACCTTATTTTCCACTTCTATCCAGCTGCAACCGGCTTCTTTATTCAAATTTCTCTCTTTCATTTTCTTTCTGATTTCTGCCACTTCTTCCCACTGACCGGATGAAGCATACAAGTTCGATAGCAGAATATATGCTGCTGGATCATGTGGATCCTGCTCGAGAATCAACTCCGCAGCATGTTTCCCAAGATCCATGTTGCCATGAACTCGACATGCTCCAAGAAATGTACGCAGGACCAAGGCATCGGCTTTGAAGGGCATCGAGTTAATAAACTCCATTGCTTCTTCAAGACGTCCTGATCGGCCAAATAAATCAACAACGCATGCATAATGTTCCATTCTCGGAACAATCCCATGTTCTACCTTCATCGACTTGAAGTGTGTCAATCCCTCAGATATCAAACCCACGTGGCTACAAGCTGATAAAACAGCAATATAGGTGACCTCATTTGGGCTCGCACCTGCTTCTAGCATTTCGTTGAAGGTTTCCAGAGCTCTTGTTGCAAATCCATGTTTTGCAAACCCTGTGATCATTGATGTCCAAGATATAACATTGCAATCTCCCATCTCTTTAAAAACTTGGAAAGCAGCTTCTATATTTCCACACCTAGAGTACATAGAGATTAAAGCATTACAAATGTGAAGGTTCGACTTAAAACCCGATTTCCATACCCGAGCATGGATTTGCTCACCCTTACCTATTGCTCCAATACTAGATGCTCCACTCAAAAGACTAGCAAACGTGAAAGCACTTACCCCAGTCCCTGTATCCTCAATTTCATTAAACAGTTCAAATGCTTCTTCAGAATTTGAACTCTTGGCATATGCATCAACCATAGTATTATAAGAAACCAAATTCTTCTCAAACAGAACATCAAAGGCTTTCCTAGCATTTTCCATGTTACCACACCGAGAATACATGCTAATAAGAGAATTCCCCACACAATTAACTGATGCAAGCCTCATTTTAAACGCAAGTGCATAAACCTGTTCACCAAGCCAAATATCAGACAGATTTGCACATGCCTTGAGAACACTAGAAAACGTGAAATGATTTGGTTTAACTTGTCCCTGAATCATTCCCAAGAAGAGTTCAATAGCTTCCCTATCACACTCTCCATTCTGCACATATCCCGTGATAATTGCAGTCCAAGACATGACATTATGATCTGGCATCCTATCAAACACTTTCCTAGCATCATCCACAGACCCATCCGCCACACACTTTGCATACATATCCACCAAACTACACCCAACACAAACATCGAAATCCAACCCTGACTTCATAACCAAACAATGCAATTGCCTCCCGAGCGACAACAAACCCATTTCAGCACAAGCCGAAACAATTCCACTAAACGTAAACCTATCCGGCACATGCCCACTTAAAAGCATATCTAAAAACAATCCAACAGCATCTCTCGAAAAACCCAATTGCTGAAACCTAGTTAACATCAAAGTCCAAGTAACCACATTTCTTTCAGGCATTTTATCAAACACTTTATAAGCAGACTCCAAATCACAACTCCCTTTCACAAACATATCAATCAAGGCACAACCTACACACACGTCAGACTCAAAATAACCAGTTTTTAACAAAAACCCAAAAACTATGTCCCCAGTTGAAGCATTCTCTTTGTTCGAACACGCCCGAAAAACCCCTGTAAAACAATACTCATTAGGATAAAACCCACAATCAAGCATATCAAGAAAAGCACTAATGGCCTCAACTTCTTTCTCATTATTTGCATAACAAGAAATCAAAGCGCTCCATGACACTAAATCTCTCTTATTTCCCATACTTTCAAAGATTTCATTTGCTTGTTGCCAATCGCCACATTTTGAGTAGAGACTAATTAAAGAGTTTAAAATGACCGAGTCAAGCTCGAGTCCTGACCGTGTCATATGATTGTGGACGAGGTGACCCAGTTGGTAATTATGTGACCTGATGCAGGATTTGAGGAGGAGGGAGTAAGTTACGAGGTCTGGATGGGTCCCCTGTTGGGACATAAAATCAAGGGTTGAGATTGCTTTCTGGAGATGGCCCACATCGAGGTGGTGAATCAGACGGTCCTTGAGAGAGCTGAAGCTGTTGTTTTGAGGTTTGAAGGTTGTTGACGATGGAGGTCTTTGGCGGGAAGGGTGGTTAACGGCTTTTTGCGAAGGAGGGAGTTTGGCGGGAGAGGAAAGAAAAGAGAGGCTTATCATTGTTCGTTATGCGATCGTTTGATGATGCCTGATGAGGTGCAGATGCTTGTTCCTTATGGAGTAATTTTTTTAATCCCTCATTTTTTAGAATAGTTATAAATTAGTCCTTCAGATTTGAAAATATATAACTTAATCCCTTAACCCTTGTCGACCGTTGTTTTAAACGTGTAGAGGCTTTCTTTAGATGATAAGTAGGTTTATTATTTCTTCATTCTTAGAGCCTAAATTTAATGTTTGATAAAAAGAATCTTAATCCAATTTCCACCCATAGCAGTGGAATGCTAAAAAAATATTACCCTTGTTTTTTTGCAAATTAAATTGCATTTACCATAATTTGCTTGAATTGCCCAAAAAAAAAAAACATTTTTCAGCCTTGTTATTTTTTTCTATATTTGATATTCTAAGTACCAACTAATAATTATCAAGCCAATCCCAATAATAAAATCAAACATCAATATCATATCAATAGCTAAAAGAAGACCCCAATTTTTTATGTGGAAAACCTCTAATATAGAGGTAAAAAACCACAAGACTATGTCCGACAATATTTCACTATATGAGAAAAAAATTACAAGATTACAAAAGATTTGTCTCCGAGTGACTAGATACTATACAATATCTAAACATTTAGTTTAAACACAACAATACTAATAGACTAATTCTCAAAAAAAAAAAAAAAAAAAACTAATAGACTAGACATAACTACGTGACATCTAACCGAAGGAAGCAACAAAGATTACATGAAAACACCACCAAATTTTCTCCCACAACCTATCCAAGAAATGAAAATATACATATCCGCATCGTCTATTAAACAACAAAGGACCAACTGTGCTCCAAAAGCCTACAATATACCCCATTGCTATGGTCACATAAAACCAATTGACCTCCATTCCTCTCGCTATCTTCATTCCTTCCATTCTTCATGTCTTTTGCGAGTACTGGCTCCACTACAAATCTTGGAGAGTGGAGGCTCGCAAAGTTCGTTGCCCATGAAAATGGATGGACTAAAGCCTTGCAATTGAGTTCTTGAAGGAATTTCTCCCCATTATTTGTTGTGGGATAAGTCCAAATGACTTAGAAATGTCAAACTAGACATGCTTGGAGGGATTTTGCCGGAAAGTTGGTTGAGAGAAAAATCAATAGATTCCGGATGCCGTATGTCACCTATATCCTTAAGAATCTTTCCGAGTTAAGAAGTTTTGTGATAAATTCAAAGACTCCAATTCTCCAAGTCTTGTAATCTCCGTAGGAATCTCTCCGGATAAAGTATTGTTAGAAAAGTCTATACTCCTTACAAATTTGAGAATAGTGCTATACTCGACTCATCGCTCCCTTCATCACAAGAAATTGACTATCATGGTATGTCGTTCGCGTCACAAGAAATTGATTATCTTTGAATGGTGCCCTCATCTTAAGATAATGATTCTTTAAGCTCGATCCATTAGCTTGAACATCAATGTAGCCGGAAGGATCATCTTTTATAGCCATGGCAATGAGATTATTGACACGGATTGGTATACTCCGGAGAGATAGTTATGAGCAAGATCCAAGATTTGTAAAGCGGCTAGATTGCAAAGCTCTTAGGGTATGTAGCCATGAAGCTTATTTGCACGCATGTTTAGAACAACCATACTTGATAATCTCTCTCCCATCCAAGTTGGAATGTTACCTATCAACTCATTTTCACCGATGCCAAGTGTAACTAGTTTTGTGCAATTTTTTAGCGACAATGGTAGTTCACTCGACAAGTCGTTGTTGCGAAGGTGCAATGACCGAAGCGAACTTAAAGTTCCTAAAGATTTAGGAATGTTATCGCTAAATCTGTTGTCGCTTAATTTTATGCCCATCAAATATTGCCAATTCATCCAACAATCGGGTATCTCTCCGGATAAAAGATTTCCTTCAAGATTAAGAAATCCCATATTTTTCATGATCTCATGCATCCTATGACAACGGAAGTTGATAATGGACCCCGAAAATGAATTGTTTGAGAGATCTAATGAATATACATTAGAGGATACAAAAGGAAGTGGGCCACCGAGATTATTGGAACTCAAGTCTATAATTGTTTCCGTGGTAGAAAAATCAAGATTAAGATTTTCGGGAATCACTCCATGGATTTGGTTGTGAGAGAGATTTAAAAACCGAAGTTGAGATGAAAAGTTCCGGAACCAAGCGAGAACAAGATCTGGAAATGCTCGGAGCTTGATAAATCCAAAGAAAATAAATGCTCGAGTGATCGAATCCAGGTGGGAAATTGGGGTCCGATATTCCAAGATCCGAAGTCTATTTGCTCAAGTTGAAGAGGAGGAATCCAATCAAAAGAATTGACTCTCAAAATCAATTGGTTTCCACCAAGCATGAAAGACCGATAATTTTGTGAGATTTGCAAAGTGAAACTCGAAAACATCACCCATCAACAAATTATTAGAAATATCTAAATATCCTAGATTTGTGAGTGCATTCAAAGACGTGGGAAGAGTTCCATTGAATCTATTATAGTAAAGCCATAGAGTGTTCAATGACGCTAATTCCCCTAAAGACATAGGCATTGGACCGAAATCATATTGTTCGAAATATCTAAAAAATCCAACTTCTTAAGCCCTCCAAAACTATCCGAAAGAGTTCCATTCAGTTGGTTATGACTTAAACCAAGGTACGTCGGATTCTTAAATCGCCCAATATGACCGGTCAAACCACCAAATAATTGACGACCATTCAAATTCAACGACTCAAGCTTATCCGAAACACATCCCGACGAATTTCAAAGACCTCGGTTATGTGTAGGACCTTCAAATTGTAAAGATTTTCGAATGATGCGGGGATTCCTCGATTGAATTGGAGATCATAATTATCCGACAAGTCAAGACCGATAAGAGAGGTCATATTTCCAATGACACTTGAAACTTCACCTTGCAAGTTATTGAATCCAAGGTTGAGAAGCTCAAGATGGCTAAAATACAACCGAGTTAGGTATCGAAGAATTGAATTGATTCTCCGACGGATCAAGTTACTTAAGTGAAGTCAAGTTTTGAAGGTTATCCGGGATTGAAGATTCATAAGTGTAATAATAATTGGATGAGAGATCAAAGATGGAAAGTAACGAAAGGTTGACACCGACAAATGGAGAAATCGGAGGAAGTTGGCAGTAGGACAAATGTAATTGTGCCAAAGAAGGGAGTGCATTGTTTATCACCACCAACCAATCAAACGCTTTCTTGAGATTCACAAGACTCAAATCAAGAAATTCTAGTGAAGAAAAATCAGATAACCAATCTAAATTATCAACATAGGATTCATATTCATAGTTATTATAATAATAATCAAAATTACCACGGAGATTAAGATAATGAAGATTTGAGAGGTTTCCTAGTTGATGAGGAATCATACCTCCAAATCCAGCCTCTAGAGAGGTTAAGGTACTTCAAACTCCCTAGAGAACCAAGGAATTTGGGAATCGAATTCCTTCAAAATCGTTGTTGCTTAAGTCCAAGTGCATCAAATATTTCAAGTTGAGCAAAGAAGGATTGATCTTACCCCTAAAGAGGTATCCCTCGTAATCTTCATCGTCATGAGCAAGTAGAATCGGGGAAGGCATCATAGTATTCTCGGTAAGAAAGACTTCCAAGATTGAGCTCAATGACATGGCCGATAACATTGTGACGGATAATTCCGGGCCATCTGCAAGCAATCCCCATCACCAACCCAAGATGCAAGTCGGTTTGAAGGATCGGTGAGATCATGCTTCAACTTCAAGAGTGCATCTCTCTCGACTGGGTTGTAAAGAACTCTAACGAAGTTCCCATGGCCGAAGCCACGATCAATAGTTGGGGCAAGAGACAACCAAAGAAGAAAAATAGGAAGAAGAGTAACAAAATTCATTGATATTTTCATGATCATGTAAAGCTAAAGTATGGAGTGAGTAGTGAGTCGTTGGCTTGAACCTTATCAATGGAGTGCTATTTATAATCAAAGCCGTGTACAAGAAAAATCATTTAGTCAACAATTTGTATGGAGATTTTGTATTTAGTCAATCATACGTCCCATTCCCACCAGAATTTGTGGTTCTTTGTTTTAGTTCTCATCTTGATTTACTCCATTGGGTACCACTTTATAGATATGATTTTTCTAACCTCGCTCTCGTGATTACTCGCTAGACGCAAAGGTTAGGTTCGAGGAAGTCAAGTTTTCGTTTATTGTATTAATATAGAAATTTATAATCTTCCACATGCTACGATTCTCCCCGGTTAATGACCGACTAAAAACGTCCAATCACCCTAAACTTTAAGTTATATGAACTGAAATTCTTAATTTTTTTATATTAGTTTTGAGGATTCTTTTAATTTTTTTTTCAGATTTAACCAACTTTTCAGTTTTCTACCATTTATATAAAAACAATAACGATCAAGTAAATAGTTTCATGATATAAATCATTTAGTGAGATTTATGTGGGGTTCTTAAAAAAATTTAAGATCATTTTGAAGCTATTTTCTATTTTTTAATATTCAAAAAATATATATTTTTTAATTTTGAAAAATTTTGGATTTTTTCTACAAAATAAATTGATTTTTTTTTAAAGTGTGTATAATTTCAACTCAAAATATTAAAAATTAAAATTTTTTAGAGAAAAAGATGATAACTGAAAATTATTAGATAGATTAAATTTTTAAAAATTAAAAGTTTAGAGATCTTAAAAACTAATAAAAATATTCAAAGACTTAACTTCAAATAACTTAAAATTTAGAGACCATTAGAATTTTTTTATAGCCGAAATGACTTCTGTTCCTCATGTCACACAGTCACCCCCACGTAACCCTTAATCTTGCTTTCAAAACAGGGACATTTCATACAATACTCGGATCCTTAAAAATTCTTAGGATTAAAGGAGGCATGACATGATGCAATTGTTACAAACAAATATAGAAAAAAAGTTTAATATTTTTGTTTTCTCTCGTCTACTAATTGTAGATAATTAATATTAGCATAGATCCAGTGGTTAAGAGAGTTTGTTTTTCCCTTTAACTTCGTGAGATCAAACGTTAAGACTAGCATATAGAAAAATTTATTTTTATTAATATACTAGACTAATGTTCGAAAATACACCTTCACCATCAAAATCCAAAAATAAAAAAAATAAAAAAATTATTATTAGCAATGGCAAGTGTACCAGGACAAACCACCCATTTAAATAATATTGTATTCTGGTGAAGTAATTATAAAAAAATCTCCTAATTTTTCTTGTCTATGGAAGACAAGAGAGAAGGACAAATCCTGTAACGGGCAAATGTACATGAAGTCTTAGTTTCGAACATCATCGTTTTCCTTTTATTAAATTTGCTGTTCTAAGTCTCCTGAAATGCCCCTTCTCTACGGACGTCGAATGAAAACCATTCTTTAATTACGAATTGTACACATATTTCCACGCAACATACAAGAGACCAAATGGACATCATGCAGAAAAATACTTTTCTTTATTAATTTTTTTATTGGCCACCAATAACGGGAAACAAATTAAAAATTATTTGGCAGAAAAAGCACGTCCATACTCGAGAGCAATCTAATTTCTCTTTCAATTCAAATGTTTTACTCTTGATTTTTAATATACCTTTTTTTCTTTAATCTTACCTGATATCCCTGCAGTAAACTTTATGACATCTCTAACTTCAATAAGATTTAAAAGATCGATACGTCACGCTTTCACGATTCGTATTTATACAAAAGATTCAAATGAGTTTTTATCTTTTTATTTTATACGAGATTTCTGTTTTTGTTGAGCTAATATTAAGATTCATTTGTTATTATATTTATACAGTGTGGCTAGCAAATAAATTATTATAAATTGGACATAAGAAACGCTAGCATTGATTACATTTTCTATTTTTTTTGTGTGTGTGGGCAGAGCACTGCATTAGGATATGCTATGCAGTCTACTAGGCTTGAAGAAAAGAGTATAACATATATTCTGATGATCTTCTTGTATTTGAATTCAAAGAAAATTTGTGAGGAATTTTCAAGTTAGTTTGATAGTTAAAGCGGTATATATGTTTTTTTATTTTATCATCAAAATTCAAATATCAAGACATGCTTTTAAAAAATAATGTTCGTATGAATCTCTTAATGCAGTACAAGTATCTCAAAATCAAAAAAAGAAAAAAAAGAAAAAATATAGCACCACGCTAATCTATGCTTAACCATACTAATTAATGCAAATCAATCTATTAACAGGATAAAGAAGCAGAGCTCCAAGGCAAATGCACATGCATGAATTTCAAAGTATTGTGAGAATTCAGGAAGACAGTCAGTGAAAAGCTTACTTATAATGGAGAGATGCCACACGACTATAATTGCAGGGGTTAGAACAGGCACAGCTCACGACATGGGTGGTATTATCCAATAAGCAATAGCCTTGCCCTTTGCATTCTCTACATTATATAGGATCCCATCCTAGCAGGAAACCATGCACAAGATTTTTGATGTATGATAGGTTCTTTTTATCCAGCGGAATTGTTATAATCACTGGATCAACATGGCACGAGTCTCCTACTTCTGAAGCCTTCAAATCGCCAAATGCAACATACTGGTACGTCTTTATAGAGGAGAAGGACGAAATGCAAGAATCCTTTTCACTGATAGAAGGAGCAGTACTGATGTATAGAGGGGACTTCATTGGATTTTGGGCTTTACATTCTCATCTTCTGAATCCTTATGAGCCAAAGGACTCACAACTTCTGCATAAGACCTGACATCACACAGTTTGAGAGGCGCATGTGATACCTTTCTCTACTGTTGTGCAATTCTTTTTTTTTTTTGGAGAAGCTATTGTACTCTTCTTTCATTTGTTGTATCTTGCCACAGTCACGCGCAGCTTATAGGTTCCAATCCAGATATCATTTAGACGAAATAAGCAAAGCTTCCAAACCAGAGCTGGACCTCAAACTAACAAAACTGAGACGCCTTCCTAACTTAGTCTTCTCCTTTGATGTGAACAATTCTAAAACCTCTCCTAACATGGCATGAGTGTTTTTCATACACTTCAAATCTATCCAGTCAGAGAATCCCTCAAAATAAAACTTGTAGCCAGAGGTAGGAGGAAGAAGGATAGGTTGTCTAGGGTTGTTGTTTTTGATAGAGAGCATCTTTTAATTACCAGAGAAGTTAGCTTAATAAGTATGATATTAAAAGTTTGATCAAATGTTATCCCACGATAACCATTGCATGGAACTTGAAATAATAATTGTAAGCAATGATGTCAGAAAGAACAATATTTGTGCAATGGCGGAATCATAGGTAAATTTTCCATATCTAATTGATTAAACTTCAGTTTGTTCTATGAATAAGAGGGGCTATTACAGATGCAGCAGCAGCTCAAAATGGTGCTTGGCCCCAAAACAAGTGGAAAGAAACTGATCAGACCTAAGAATGTTCATAGTGACCTACACAGCAGAGCACAACCATCCAACTCCTACCCAAAAAACTTTCTTGCAGACAGCACCGGTCACAATACCTCAGCACCACAAAACCAGTAGAGCTAATGATTCTAACAAACCATGATCACCAGCCAAAGCCACTAGCTCATCTTCAGCTAATTTACTCTGTCAATAAAGTATTTCAATCCATCAAGAATCCATTCATATTAAACGTAGATTTCATATTACATTAGCAATCAGACTGTCTGATAAGGTGGAGTCAACTAATGTAGATGATGTACATCTGTTATTGGAATCACCTGCAAGAATATCAAATTCCAATGTTCCTTCAAGATTTAGAGATGTAAGATTGTGTACTTCTTCTTTCAGCATTTCCATGACTTCGTTCATTGGAGGACGGTTGTCAGGATTTATTGGTATGCACCAAAATGCCACCACAACCATCTTCTTTGCAATTTTCTCCTCCTCCTCAGTTGCATCTCCAATTTCCATGTCCTTTCCAAGAAGAATTTGGTTGTGAACACATGAAGGAAAGTAAATTTGGCTGGAATCTTCTTCTTCTGCTGCTTTGCTCAAGTTCTTCCTTTTGCCTGCCATTTCCATTAACAGCATGCCAAAACTATAGACATCAGCTTTGTACTATACACTTCCAACGTTTCTGTAGAATAGTTCTGGTGCAATGTATCCGATGGTTCCTCTAGCTGCAGTAATAGAGACTGTGTTGTTCTTTGTAGGATACAATTTAGCAAGTCCGAAGTTGGCAAGTTTCAGATTGAAGTTCTCATCAAGAAGAACATTTTGAGGCTTAATGTCGAAATGGAGAATTTGCATTTCACAATCTCGATGCAGGTATTCAATCCCATGAGCGACTCCCACAGAGATCTCATACATCTTTTTCCAACTCAAGAAGGACTTTCCTTCCCGAGAAAAAAACATATTTATCAAGAGATCCTTTAGATATGAAGTAATATACAAGAGCACGTTTTGATCCTTCAGCACAAAAGCCAATTAGTCGCACGACATTTACGTGGTGAATCCTTCCTATAGTAGCAACTTCACTGATGAAATCTTGACCATTTGCTTTGGACTTTCTTAACATCTTTATTGCAACAAAATTGCCACTTCGAAGTTTTCCTTTAAATACAGATACCTAGCCACCTTCACCCAGTTTTTCCTTGAAATTGGTTGTCATCTTTTTAATTTCGGAGTAATAGTACCTAATGGGCATGAGGTTATTATGGCTTTGTAGAAATTCCTCAATGGAGTCATACATTGATAAATGCCTCCTTCTATATTGGTAGATCACAAAAACGAAGAAACAAGGAGCCCCAAATAGAAATCTCGCCGCAATACAGAATCCTACATTTGAAAGTTAGAAAGCATAAAAAAAAGAAGGAAAACTCCAAAGGAGAACATGCTTGCAGCTGTTTATTTCTGAGCCAATGAAAAATGCATTATCTGTCGCGAGGATTATTAGCCGTGCCAATGCTGTAAGAAAACTGGGAAATAGTAAACTAAACCAGCATTGAACTCAGATCAGGAACACCAGATAAATGTAACGGCAGAAACAATGTTACACCTAATAAGGTAATGGGAGACAAATCCCATGTCCTAGGCTCAATGACCAGAAGAACAGGCAACCTGAATCACCTGATAATTACCTCAGCTCATACAGAGACAAGAATATCGGAATTAAATAGGCTGGTCAAAGACAGAAGACGAGAGATTGGAAAGAGATAGGCATTAGGTGTGTTTACCAATGCCTGAAGATTGGCTTAGCTTACAACAATTTGCAGGCTCACCATGGCTTGAGCCAGAGCAAAACCTTGATAATTTTATCTGATCCAATTATCTAAAGGGGTTAAGAAAAAACTTGCATTTTTATCCTTAATAACAAAATGAACGCACCTCTCAAGTTATTGCATCCACCTATATTTAATTTTCTTACTGGTGGTACCAATAAGCATTGATAATAAGAAGAAAGAATCCTTACCGATACCCGTTTGTGAGGGAAAATAGTGCAGAAGCTCGATGGCGCCTGCATTATACACATATTGAAAATATCAATTGACAAATTTGAAGCAGATAATTAAATTTTATGCTGATAGAAATCATAAGTTTTTGAGATCAAAAGGCGAGACAAATAGCATCATATTTTTTGAGCTAGTTCTTGGCAAAAGCTTTAATTTTGAAGCATTATGAGAGTTAACAGAGAAGAATGTTAATCATAAGCTTACGTACATTGAAGGACCGTACATGCTCCATGTTGCAGGGCTTAGAGCAGCTAACAGATTTGGTGGTATCATCAAATAAGCAGAGGCCCTGGCCCTTGCATTCTTCACATAATTTACGATCCCATTCGAGCTCCAAACCATACACAACGTACCGGTACGTCTTCATCTTGGACAAAGAAGACATGCAAGAGTTGTTTACATTGATACAAGGAGTAGGATCTATATATGCAGGGGACTTTATCGGAGTCGGGCAACACAAATACGTCAGGTGTAAGGTTTTGCTGAGCCGGAATGAGAGTGGCAAGCGATACAGATCTCCATAGCTGAAATTGTCTCTGGTCAAATGATACCGAGGAAGTGAGGAGCAATCACCATCCTGCAAACCAATATCAGCTACCCGGATGGTTCTATTTATGTAATTGATCTCCTTTACATAGTATTTTCCTTAATGCAAGTATAGAATCGGATGGTTGTTCTCGCAAGTCAATTCGTGGTAAAAATCACCGCAGTTTGCATGCAGGGTCATCTTTTAGTCGAAAAGGGTAGCTAATGTTAATAAGGTTGCCACAGGAAGAAGGATGTTCACAATGGTTATTTATTATAGCATCACAAGATTGATAGTTTAGGAGTAGGAACGCAAGAAAGGCAGTGTAGCTTGCAAACAGTAGTCTTCCAATGCCCATGGACGGAGATAGAGATAGAGATTCTTCGACTGCTCTTTCTTTGTGGATCTGTTTTAGACTGAAGGCAGTAGACTTAAAGCTATTATTGGCTAAAGAGCTTCATGAACTGTTGTCGTTGGTGGTGACTATTTTCATAACTTCCATACACTAAAGACGATAGGAATGACTTTGAAATGCTTTTGTCGTAAGAGCATCTGCATGGAAAGGTGGAATTGGCTATAGTCAAGCATTATTTTTAAATTAAAGGGCACAAAACCAGCATATTCTAGTTAACGGATGCTATTTCTTGTAACAAAGACAAAAGGAAACGTCCCCTTCATTTCTCACCTATTCTGATGAAATAGAGAATGTATGGAGCCGGCAGGCATAATTGTGTCAGAAAGGACAATTGAACCAATAAAAAAAATACCAGCTGCATTGCAGACCAAGTCTGCAAAAACCTGGAAGAAAAAATGAAAAGAGATATACCACTGTGGTTATGGACTAAAACCGTCATATATTTCCCTAACACTAGACACAATTCCTGCCTACCAAAATTTTTGCCCAATGCTTGTGGCTTTTCGGCCATAAAACAAACACCAGCATCCCAATTTCTTCCACCATATAAAAATGAAAATGGGGTTTTCATCGAAATGAGCAATAGCTAGCAGAAGGACTAGAGTTTGCAGCCATCTGCTTTCTCTATTTTTTTGGCAATCCATCTGTTAAACATAGTGTTGATCCACTGTTTGTTTTTGGAAATCCATCTGCCTTTGTATCTATCAGCATAAAAGCCAACGAGTCGCACAACATTTACACGGTGAATCCTTCCTATGGTAGCAACTTCATTGATGAACTCTTGACCATTTGATTTGGACTTTCCCAACATCTTCATTGCAACAAAATTGCCACTTCGAAGCTTTCCTTTAAATACAGGCCATGACCTGCAACCAATTTTTCCCTTGAAATTGGTCGTCATCATTTTAATTTCGGAGAAGGATTACCTAACGGGCATGAAGTTATTATGACCATTGATAAATACCTCCTTCGCCATTTGTACATCAGAAAAATGAAGATGCAAAGAGCCCCAAATAGAATTCTTACTGCAATACAGAATCATGCATTAGAAACTTAAAAAACATCAAAAGAAGGAAAACTCCTAGGTAGAGCATGCTCTCTAGTTGTTCACAATTTGTGATTTGGCCCTTTAATCACCATCCTGATGTGTTTTTAAACTCCATTCAAAGGGAACGAAATGCGTTCGCTATAACATGCTAACGATAACTTTGACTTTGTTAGTGTTCCATTTAAGCTACTGAACAAGAGCCAGTCTTAATAAAATTGACTTGGGTGTGAATAAAGGAAAGTGTAACCTATCATAAGGAGTACCATCTGTAACAAAACTGCAAAGAAAACTGGAAAATAGTAAGCCACACCAGCTATGATCCCAGATCAGAAAAACCAGTTAAATGTAACTGCTGTATTTTACAGTAAGTAAAGCAATTTTAGATATTTTCTATGCCCAATGTCAAAAGGCGGCAACCAGAATCACCTGATGACCTCAGCTCATAAGAGACAAAGCTACTAATAGTCCTTCTAATCAATATGTGCTTGAATTTTGGAATTATATAGGCTGGTCAATGTTTCTTCTCAAAGACATCAGAAAGGAAAAGGTTACCACAAGTTCCAGGCTCCCCATGGCTTGAGCCAGAGCCAAACCTCAATAATTATGCCCTAACCATTTATCTAAACACATAACGAGAGGGACTTCCTTGCATTTCCATCCTTTCCAAGAAAAAGGAATCGACCTGTAAAATTATTGCATCCACTGCGATCCACTAAGACAGCATTTTCATAGTTGTGGTACTAATAGATGCCAGTAACAAGAAGGGAGAATTCTTGCCGGCATGGTTTGTTGATTTAACTTGATGCAGAAGGTCCATTGCGCCTGCATTGTACACATTGAATATGTCATTTGACTAAATTTAAGAAGCTGATAATTATATTTTTATGCAGAAGTTGTAAGTTCCTAATTCACTTGGAACAAAGTCATATGACTTCAGAGGCGAAAATGATAAGTTTTCGGAGTCAAAATGCGCACATGTGGAGCATGCATCATCATTTTTGAGGTATAACCTATGATCCTGGCTAGTGGAAGCATGACTATTGGAAGCGTTATGAGAGTTTTGAAAGACGAATGTGAATCAGAAGCTCCAGACCATACACAAGAATGTCTCCTGTTTCTTTCAAAATTGGTGATATGATCAATGCTGCAGGGCTTAGAGCACTGACGACATTGGTGATACAATCAAATAAGCAGAATCCTAGGCCCTTGCATTCTTCACAGTATCTATAATCCTATTCAAGCTCCAGACCATACGCAAGAATGTTTCCTATTTCCATCAACTTTATATCGCCAAATACAACGTAGTGGTCGTGGACAAAGACTGCATGCAAGAATTATTTCCATTGATACAAGGAGCAGTATCCATATATATAGGTGACTTCATTGGATTTTGGCAACATAAAAAGTACCAGGTGTGATATTCTGCTGTCCCAGAATGGGTATCGCAGCCTACACGGATCTCCAACTCTGGAGTTGTCTTTCTGTCAAGTGATACCGAGGAAGCGAGGAGCAATTATGTTCTCGCAAACAGATATCAGCTACCTGGATTGTTCTGTTAACGTAATGGATCTCTTTTACATAGTATTTTCCTGAATACTGGTGTAGAATCGCATGACTGTTCTTGCAAGTCAATTCATAGTTAAGATCACCACAGTTTGGAGGGTGAAATATTCTGGCATCACAAGAGAGGTTTAGGAGTAGGACTATAAGAAAGGCAGTGTAGCCTGCAAATAGAAGCCTTCTGCTAAGCATGGATGGAGATAGAGATACGGATTCCATGGCTGGTATTTCTTTGATTGTCTGCGTCAGATTGAAGTCAGTATACTAGAGGCTATTATTGGCTAAAGGGTTTCCTGGACTGTTGTTATTGGCAGTGACTATTTTGATAATTTTTTCAGAAGCTAGATAAGACTTTGAACGCTGTTGTCTTATGAGCATCAGTGTGGAAAGTGGGAACTAGCTAGGAGCCAAACTATTTACTAAATTCAAGGGAATAGCATCAGCTTTCGGGTTAGGAAATTTTTTCTCCTGAATACAAAAGGAAATGCCTAATTCATTTCTCAGCTATTCAAAATAAAATAGAGTGAGTGTAGAGAATGGAAGATTCTCTGAGCCAGCAGGTATAGTTTGAGATTTCCAAGTGTTGTACAAGTGTGTGTGTGAAATGTGAATTTTAATAAGGCACAAAGAATTCATACTGCCACTGTTTCGTTGCTAGTTAGAAGCATTCTCATAAAAATTGCAGTGAACAGTAGTGATATCCTCTACTTCTGAGCATAAATTCAAGATGATAATGCAAAGTAGCCACTGCAAGTTTATCTACATTCTTCCGGACAATTAAAGTGAACTTCTGCTCTATTCATGTACAGGAGTAGACTTTATGATCACCATGTTTGCACTGTACCAATCAAACAGAATTTAAAATCAAACTAATTGTATCAGTCGAATCAAGTAACATAGAAGAGGGACTTGTTTCATCTATACAATCTCCAACCTTGACAGCCATTTCTTCAGGAAACAGAACAGGTTTAGGAGGCAATTCTAGGTTTTCCAAGTCTCCTTCCAGCATTTCCAAGACTTTATTCATAGGAGGATGGTCATTAGGCTTCATTTGTATGCACCACAAGGCCACTATAATTATCTTCTGTACTAGTTTCTTTTCATCCTCTGTGACACCTCCAATTTCAACTTTTTGGTCAACAATCTCGTTATAAACCCAAGACAGAAAGTAGTTTTAGCTGGAACTGTCTGGCAGTGGATTTGCGTTCTTTTTTTCCCAGTCATTTCCATTAACAACATCCCAAAACTATAAACATCAGTGAGAGATATAGTGTAGAATAATTCTGGTGCTATGTATCCTATTGTTCCTATTGCAGCAGTGAGAGATATAGTGTAGAATAATTCTGGTGCTATGTATCCTATTGTTCCTCTTGCAGCAGTGAGAGATATAGTGTTATTGTTTGTAGGATATAACTTAGCAAGTCCGAAATAAGAAACTTTCGGAGTGAAGTTCTCATCGAGAAGAACATTGTGAGGCTTGATGTCGAAATGTAGAATCTGCATGTCACTACCTCGGTGTAGATATTCAATGCCTGGAGCCACTCTTAGAGAAATCTCATACATTTTTTGCCAACTCAAGGAGGCATTCCCTTCTCGAGAAAAAACATATTTATCAAGTGATCCATTAGGCATGAACTCATATACAAGGGCACGTTTTGATCCCTCAGCACAAAAACCAATTAGTCTTACCACATTAATATGGTGAATCCTTCCAATTGTTGCCACTTCACTGATAAATTCCCGACCATTGGCTTTGGACTTGCCCAACATCTTTATTGCTGCAAGATGACTACTGCGAAGCCATCCTTTATATAGAGTACCATAGCCTTCTTCTCCCAACTTCTGCTTAAAACCATTGGTCATCTTCTTGATCTCCGAGCTAGAGTACCTTATCAGCATGAAGTTATTTTGACTTCGCAGGAATTCTTCAATGCTGTCATACATTGACAAGTGCCCCCTTCCCATTTGTATATTAACAATGCAATCTCAAATGGAGTTAACAGAACATTCTTCCTGCAAGAATTACTGCTATGTAGCCTGTATCCCAAAAAAAAAAAAAAAAAAACAAAAGAAAAAAAAAATCACATGAAAGAATTTCAGATGCTATATGCACTCTGCAGTTTCCCCATTAGACAAAATGTTATGAATTAAAAGCATTCCTAAACCTGGTAATTCAATTCAGTGGTTGAAGATTCATATTTCAAAGAACAACAGAGTTCTGACCAGGGATGTACACAAATATTAACCCAAGATATTCTGCATGGAAAGAAAAATTAATGGTCGGTGAAAGTAGCTTAATGCAAAAGATAGATACAGCTATCCAAACCCATCTCACCAGGATCTAAACAGTGGGCTAGAAATATTTGCACTCATGGATACTTGGTCCGCTTAATAATGATAGTGGCTATCATCAACCAGATCCCTTCATAGGAATTGCAGCTACTAGATAAGTACTGATTGTGCTGCTGCTTTTTTTATTTTTAATTCCATGATGCAATGCTAAGAATGGTCTAGATAATGATGCTTATTGATTAAGAGAAGCAATGAATTTCATAATAAAATATTAAAATCGACAGAGATTCACACCTTCTATAGACCTCTGTATGCTGCCAATGATTGTTTCTACAATGACCAAGAATGGAAAAGGAAAATTAGCATACAAATATGCGGAGTTCATCTAAGTTTTTACAGTGTTGGAAAAATAAAGAAATTGACATGGGGTATTGCTAGGTCCTATAATGAATTTTGATATAGATTATTCAGCCCAATATATGTAGAGAGATAATCAGAAAAAGAGAAGAATTTCGGTCAAGTTGCATTTACTTTGTTTGGGACAATGAAGGAATATAACAAAGCAAACTTCCACTCCTCCCCTGCTTCTGTAAGTTAAACACCGAACTTTATGCCACCACAGATCAAATCCATACAACAGCCTTTTGTGAAAGTCAATATATGAAAAGTTTTTTAAATCATTTAATGGCGGCATCGGCAGTGATGACATGACCATAAGCTCCACTTTGCAAGAGTTCTCCACATCTGACAGATTGCCTCCAACCATAACATGATTATAACATCTTGGATCAATTCAAGGAGCAGCCTTCACATAAAGAGGAGAACTCACTGGATTTTCACACTTCATTAACACCATTAGCTTCTTGGTTTCATTCTCATAGGACCAATGTTCTGGATGTGTGTCGTATTGATCATCATAATAGCTGTAGTTGGCTTGAACCAAAGGATATTGAGGAGGGGAGGAGCAGTCATCCTTGTTGATGTTAGCATCAGCAACTCTAATTGTGTAGTTATTGTAGTTGATGAACTGAACATGGTCTTTTCCTGCAAGAAAGTACAATCTGTCTGATTTTTGTCACAGGATAACTCATAAATAGAGTAATCACAGTTCGGTGGATCCCCTTTTAACCAAAAAGGAGACCTAATGTTACGGAGATTGCCACAGGAAGAAGGAGGACAAAGGTGATCATTTGTTTTTGCACTGCAAGTTTGGACTTGGAGGCATATCAGAAGTAAAAGAAAAGCAGCAGTTAGAGCTACAAAGAGCTGAGACCTTCTTACAAACATCTCTAAAGAAAGTGAGAGGTTAGTAATCTTGAGGGTGCATATCATCATCAAGAATACTGTAAAATAAAGATATAAAAACAAATCTCTAGTGAAAGTAAAGCATCTTTGCTAATGTGGAAAATGATTTGGATAGTCAACCCTAGAACTTACAAAAATAATCTCATACTCATGCTTTTGTTAAGGACTCTCTGAATAATTATGTTTTATCATTATCCTTTTCTCTCTGAATATTATATTCATCCATTTGTCAAACCCTTGAACTTAGAAAATTAATAGCTTTGGATTTTTCAAATGCTAATGCATCTCCATTAAAATATATTAAGATCTAAGCCTCATATCTGGAATGAGATAGTGATTTAACCATAATCCATGCTAAAAAAGGATACTAAAATAATGGTGTCCAAGAAAGTTGCTACTTAGTGGGAGGATTATATAATACATTGATGACAATCGAATCCTCATACCTGGGATTAGCTTGCTTATTTCTAATTGGTCAAATCATTCATTTTGGTATGTTATTGCAGAAATCATGAACAATCAGTAGGATTATGATATATAAGGTGATCTGTACATTTGACTCAGGGAGCGTGGTTTTAGCATTTGTTTAATGGTGACAAATTTCACCCACTGACTTTTGTGAAGCCTTTGTTTTAAGAGCAAGTGATATGCATATCCTTATCACTACTATCCCACACCTCTAAAAAGAAATGATGGATTAAGTCAGCAAATGATAAATTGAATGACATTGATTATTACAGAGGATTTGGATCAATGGACCCAAATATTCCTGAAAGTTTTGAAATTCAATCAATTAATGTGAAAAAATCATTGGACAGAGCCAATTCAAGATAAAGACAGTTAAAGAAGTGATGCTTGCCTTAATGAGTTGCTCCTTGCAAATGGGGGAAGAGTTTATTAATGAAGTGGGAGCAATGGGAAAAATCCACCATGCCAAAAGTGTTCGATTAGTTGGCTACTGTGCTGATGGATTCAAAAGGGCTCTAGTTTATGAGTACCTTGCAAATGAATCACTAGAGAAATTTATATCATCAGACTATGGAAACAGTACGCCTCTTGGTTGGAAGAAGCTTCAAGATATTTCTCTTGGCGTAGCCAGAGGCATTGAGTATCTTCATCAAGGATGTGATCAGAGAATTCTTCATTTTGGCATTAAGCCTCATAATATCCTGCTGGATGAAAATTTCAATCCAAAAATTTCTGATTTCGGTCCGGCAAAATTATGTTCCAAGGATCAAAGTGCTGTTTCCATGCATACAGCTCGAGGGACTATGGGCTGTATTGCACCTGAAGTGTTCTCTTGGAACTTTGGGAATGTTTCGTATAAGTCAGATGTTTACAGTTTTGGAATGGTGTTGCTAGAAATGATCGGAGGCAGGAAAAATACAGCAGAAAACACCAGCCAAGTATACTTCTCAGAATGGATATACAACTGTTTGGACGGGGGAGAAGAGCCGAGACTCAGGATCCAGGAAGAGGAGGGTGCAGAAATTGCAAAGAAACTTGCGATCGTAGGACTCTGGTGCATTCAGTTGCACCCTACAGATCATCCCTTAATGAAAACTGTAAGTCAAATGTTGGAAGAAGAAGGAAACAGATTAACAGTGCCTCCTAGTCCTTTGGCCTCTGCTGGTCCAGGAAGAATGAATGCAAATATGGCCAGCAGATGCCTTCAACATGACTTGGTAGCGATTTCTGAAACAGAATGAAGTTTCATGCCATCTATTGTATTCAGAAAAGGAAAGAAAAATCATGTTTAACCCCAACGATAGTGCATTTATGCAAGACATGAGATCTTTTAAATTGCACATGTATTTCATTTTTCACCAAGTTTGATGGGCATCATGGGGAGCCACATGCCATTTCTTAGATGAAGTCAAGTTGATTGTTATAGGCTGAGCTATGCAGTGAAAGAAACCTCAACACTGGTATACAGAACAAAATTACTCAAAACACAGAAGAAAGAACAATCAGAAATTTGTGAAAATACTATCTGCCAAGATATCTCACTATTCTCAAAATATGTAAATGTGTAAAATTTGGAATTCAGGTAAAATGAGCCTTTACAAATTAATGATTCAAACAGAGTTTAAAAGTAAACTAACAGATTCACTTGAGTCAAATAGCATAGAAGATGACTGTGTTTCCTCTGTAGAGTAAGCGTAATTCGTGGGTGTTTCGTCTGGAAATAGAACAGGTTTGGGAGGCAATTGTAGGCTTTCAATGTCTCCTTCGAGCATCTCCACAACTTTGTTCATTGGAGGACGATTACTAGGCTTCATCTGTATGCACCACAGTGCCACTGTAATCATCTTCTTTGCCAAATTCTTTTCATCTATTGTGGCATCTCCAATTTCAACTCTTTCATCAACAACTTGGTTATAAACCCAGGAAGGGAAGTAGTTTTCGCTGTTACTCTCTGTTGCCGGATTTGTATTCTGTCTTTTTCCAGCCATTTCCAGTAACAACATTCCAAAACTATAAACATCAGCTTTGTATGAAACACTGCCAATGTTTTTGTAGAACAATTCTGGTGCTATGTATCCTATTGTGCCTCTTGCTGCAGTAAGAGAGACTGTGTTGTTGTTTGTAGGATACAATTTAGCGAGTCCGAAATCAGAAACTTTCGGAGTGAAGTTCTCGTCAAGAAGAACATTGTGAGGCTTGATGTCGAAATGTAGAATCTGCATGTCACAACCTCGATGTAGATATTCGATGCCACGAGCCACACCCAGAGAAATTTCATACATTTTTTGCCAACTCAAAATGGTATTCCCTTGTCGAGATAAAACATATCTGTCAAGGGATCCATTAGGCATGAAATCGTATACAAGTGCACGCTTCGATCCCTCAGCACAAAAGCCTATTAATCTTACAACATTAACATGGTGAATCCGTCCAATCGTTGCCACTTCATTGATGAAATCTTGACCATTGCCACTGGATTTGCCCAGCATCTTTACTGCTGCAAGATGTCCACTACGAAGCTTCCCTTTATAGACAGATCCATAGCCTCCTTGACCTAACTTGTCCTTGAAACCATTGGTTATCTTCTTAATATCTGAGTAAGAGTACCTTATGGGCGCGAAGTTATTTTGAGTTTGCAAAAATTCTTCGATAATATCATACATCGATTTATGTCTCCTTAGCCATTTATATATCAAGAATGCAAACACAAATGGGCTGCACAGTATAGTTCTTGTAATGAAGAGTCCAACTGTGTGGTAAAGATTTCAGGGAAAAGAATCAGCTGCCATTGGCATCTTTGCCTGCTGGAAAATATGATTTGAACTTATAATCCAAAAGAACAGAAAAATTCTTACCAAGAATCAACAACATAAACCACCAAAGTGCTGTGAGAACAAAAAGCAATAATCAGAGTCAAAATCAGATAGCTGAAACTCTATTCCACTATCATCTAAAATAAATGCAAGCTGGGATAGGTATGGACTAGCAACATTGTCCTCGGGAACACTGACTCTGCCTAACATGATCACTTTTTTGGCTATATATGCATATATTCAGAGGCTGAAGCTATTTTTTGGTATCTATGCAGACTGTTGCAACTTCCTTTTCGATTCCATAACTTCAAACAATGGCTAGAATTCATTTTTCAATCTATCAGGCCCATATGCTTTGTGAGCTATTTTCCATTCTAAAATTCACAGCCAAACATGATCTCTTTAAAGACTACTTTCTTTTTTATCTATGATATGACAACTTGTGGGCAGATAACAATTTTCTGCTGAAATTTCTTATTGTGCAGTGAGGAAGCGAGTGCTAGGTGTATGCTTATGCAGAGCAAGATCCAGTAATATAATGGAGAGAGGATCCTTACCTCTAATTTGGGCGATTATTTGGTCAAATATGCCTACATGATAATTAAAAATAGATAACATCAGCAAAAAAGAGAGGGAAAAAATAGATGACAGATCAAGAGTACTGCATTTTCTAACGAAAACAGAATAATTTATGACCAAGCGTCCCAGTTGGTGCCATTAATGCTAATAACATGTTTTTTTCAGAACAAAACAAGGTTTGTAATGTCACATATGCAAGGACTTCAAAGTTTTCTCAGTTGAACTATGATTTTTCTTGGAAAATAAAGTGAATCCACAAAAGGTAAAGTAAGGCAGAAGCTGTGCTTACTTTCGGTGGGACAGGAAAAACCTTGGCCTGAAAGTTTGCACTTTTCTTTTCCTTTGCAAAATCCACAGTATACTTCTTTCCACCAAATCTCAAATCCATAAACAAGCTTGTTATGGATGTCCATGTATGAAATGTTTCTGTAATCTTTCATCAGCAACGATGACATAGCAATTAGCTCCACTTTGCATAAGTTCTCCACATATGACAGATTGGCCTCAAGTAAAACATAAGAATTTGTTCCGTCGAGGCAAGGAACAGTGTCCACACAAAGAGGAGACTTCACCGGATTCGCACACTTCATGAAGATCATCACCTTCCGTGAATCATTAAGTGGTTGCCAAGAAGAGGTGCGCCACTCATAAGGGTCTACATAACTGAAGTTGCTTCCTGTCAAAGAATGCTGAGGGAGAGAGGAGCAGTTATCCTTATTAACATTGGAATCAGAAACTCTTATTGTGGAGTTATTGTAATTGATGGACTGGACAAGGTATCTTCCTGAATACATGTACAGGACCGTTTGATTGTTCTCACATGATAGCTCATAGAAAGAGTAACCACAGTTTGATGGATCCCCTTTTAGCCTAAAAGGCAAGCTGATGTTATGGATATTGCCACATGAAGAAGGAGCGCAAAGATGACTAGGCTGTGCTCTGCTAGCCTGGACTTGGAGACATATGAGAAAGAGAAGAAGGGTTGTGCCTGTGTGACCAGCAAAGAGGATCCTTGTTGCAAACATCTGAAGAAAGTCAGAGGTTCTGCAATTTTCTAGGGCATTAAATTTGTTGATGAAGTGAAAGCATGGGCACACTTGGGATGCCAACTTCTTACATTGAATAATTATTTTCTTAGGAATGCATAGCTGATATAGATGAGTTGGAACTTTGATGTCAGCAATGCAGACAAAGTCTTCGAATTTGACCTTTTTTAGTTTCATTTGGTTCATAAAAAATGGACCATCTTCCCTGGTTTGGATAGGTATCCATTCTTTAAAAATGGATTTTAAAGTGCTAATGGAATCTCCTTTCAAAATCATTGATCTTTTCTGCACATGGCTATCATTAGCTTATGCATTTTTTACAAAAAAAAAGTCGGTATTCATAAAGAAAATCACACAATTCTTACCCATTTTTAGTGCTTTCTCTAGGGATAGGATTGACTATTGAGGATTCTTGTTTATATGGGGAAACTGCAAAGGTGACAAATTTGACTTAACTATTCCCCACCCTTTTGCCTTTAAGGTATCCATTTACTCCCTTTATTTATTGCAGTCATCAGATTTGACTTCTTCTTAGCCTTCCACATCATGACATTGCCTACCCCAAGAAAAAAGCCAGTGGCATTCATACATCAACAAGAACAAAATTACTTAACATCATTATTTTATAACGTAGATCAAATAGACCAAGTTGCGAAATATACTGCCAAAATGGAATAATGTATGCAGAAATTACTCCATTAAACCAAACCCCACATCACCTTTTCTAGATAACAGCATCTGGAAGGCACTGGCGCTCAAAAACTCTGGTCTTTTTAAATGGATCTTTCTTTGTTTTGCTTGTTCATGCTGTACCTAGTAGGCCATTGAATTAGGGCTTGATAGTGCAGTCATAAGATTTCTGTTCACAAAACAAGCCAGAACACCTTGGCTATCCTGGGCTTAATCTATCCTCCACTGACCAGAAAGGTAAATTGCTGGAGCTACTAACTTCAGTGGAACCCTTCATCAAGAAACTTGAGCATATGCATCATAGCTGATCACTTGCACCGATGCAGCTAACATCCTTCCAGTTTATATTAGGAAATTGATTATGCAGGTAAAAAAGAGCTAATACAGATTCTAAATTCAACCAAAGTTTATAATCAAACTAACTGCTTCTCTAGAGTCAGATAGCATAGAAGATGACCATGCTTCATCTGTGTTCTGTCTAGGAGTTTCTTCTTGAAAAATAACAGGCTTGGGAGGCAATGGTAAGGTTTCAGTTTCTCCTTTAAGCATCTCCATAACTTTGTTCGTAGCAGGACGATTACTGGGCTTCATATGTGTTCTCTACAATGCAACTATAATCATTTTCTTTGCTATTTTCTTTTCTTCTTCTGTTGCATCTCCAATTTCAATCCTATCATCAACAATTTGGTTATAAACCCAAGATCGGAAATAGTTTTCATTGGAACTCCCTGCCGCAGGATTAGTGTTGTTTCTTTTTCCAGCCATTTCCATTAACAACATTCCAAAACTATAAACATCAGCATTGTATGAAACACCGCCAGTGTTCTTGTAGAACAATTCTGGTGCTATAAACGATGTTTGGAATGTATGACTGATGTCCTTATCATCAATGAAGACAAAGTATGAGAATTTGAACTTTGTTCTTTTGGATTTAAAAATGATAAAGATGGAGTTTGTTCATATCTTTTGCCCTTCTCCCCTTGTTGGTTTGGAAAGGTGAGAAACCCCCCTCCAAAATTTCTAGTGAAACCTATACCAAACTCTTCTGGATATTGAAATTTTCAAATTCTGATGGAGACCCCAACAAAATATATTGATCATTTGCACATGGCCGGCATTAGCTCTTGCTCTAGGGATGGAAGAAAGAAGCTTGCTTTTTTATTTTATGGAAAAGTGACAAACTTTACTATATTTTATCCCTAGCATGTGGTGACATCTCCTAGCAATTTACACCACAACATCACTAACCCACAGGCCCACACGGAAAAAGAAGCTAGCTGGCAAAATCAAATTGACCAAGCCCTTCAAATATTTGAAGTCAATGAGTCAAGTAAACAAAAACGACTCAAGAGAGCAAGATCCAAGATTACAATTTCAAGATAACATCATTTGCAGGGCAGTGGAGCTCAAAACAATATGGGTCTCTCTTTAGTTTGCTTGTTCATGCTGGTACTTGTGGGATATGGAGTTGGCCTTAATGATGTATGCCAAGAAGCAAGGTGCAAGAAACATGGTCCAGTCATTAGATTTCCATTCAGACTCAGAGACAAGCAGCCAGATCACTGCGGCTATCCTGGGTTTGATCTATCTTGCACTGACAGGAAAGAAACGTTGCTGGAGCTGCCAACTTCAGTGAAACTCAACATCAAGAAAATTGACTATGCAGCACAGCTGATCACTGCAACTGACCCAGATAACTGCCTGCCAAAGCAGCTCAGAAACTTGAGTTTATCTACATCTCTTTTCAAATTTGCAAGCCATTACGTGAATGATTATGCCCTTTTCAACTGTACATCATGGAAGGACAATTCATATACGCAGATACGTTGCCTTAGTGGTTCTGGATATGATATTTATGCCTACGGATCTGATTCTATCATCGGTTATACAGACCTGACTTCTTGCACGAAGATATATAATCTTTCATCAATTCCAGATGAAATCGTTGGGAAAGACAATAGTCTTCAATTGAAGTGGTCAGGGCCAGCTTGTGGAGCAAATTGTGAAGCACGTGGCAAGTTTTGCAGACGGAAGAATAACACCGCTAGGTATGAGATTGAATGCTATGACAAGCCTAAATCAAATAAAGGTATGGTCTGGCTTACACATTTTACTTCAGTTTTCGCAGCCACTGTAAACTTTTCTGTTCATTTGGAACTAATGGATTATTTTTTAGTTATGAAAATCAAATTTTTTCAAGAGTTCTTCTATTATTTGTTAATTATGAATTATGAAACATATAATCTCCATGTCAAGTTGAACAGAAACATAAGTTTTAAGTAATCTTAATCGGAAACAAATCTGTCCATTTATCAGTAGGTTGGCTACTCGATACATGTTGAGAATTAATAACCTGTACTAATTAGTCATGATTTCCATAGAAGCCATGGATTATGATTGTCAAAAGGATGCTGTTTAAGAAGCTAATGTAATGATATCATTTTCTTTTACAGGCATCAAAAAGAAGATTGCGGCTGCAGGTGAGATGTCTGCAAATTCGGCATTTTAAGCTTCTTTACTTATCTTGCATCTGCTCATTGCTAAACAAACTTGATGAGTTCCTGACCATATATGTTTTATATGCAGTTACGACCGTGGGTTCGGTTCTTCTATTAGTGGTAGCTTTTGCAGCTTACCGTGTTTACAGCTCCGATAAAGCCGCGAAACAAAACCAGAAAAGGATTGAAACCTTTTTGGCAGATTATAAAGCTCTTAAGCCAACCAGATACACATATACTGACATAAAAAGGATTACGAATGACTTCAAGGACAAGTTGGGTCAGGGAGCATACGGAACAGTGTTTAAAGGACACCTTTCCAAGGAGATCTTTGTTGCTGTGAAGATCCTGAACAATTCAACAGCGAACGGAGAAGAGTTCATCAATGAAGTGGGAACAATGGGAAGAATCCATCATGTCAATGTTATTCGCTTAGTCGGTTACTGTGCGGATGGATTTAGAAGAGCTCTGGTTTATGACTACCTGCCAAATGAATCACTAGAGAAATTTATATCCACAGAGCATGGCGACGCCACCTCCCCTCTTAGTTGGGAGAAGCTTCAGGATATTGCTCTTGGCATGGCCAAAGGAATCGAGTATCTTCACCAAGGTTGTGATCAGCGAATCCTCCATTTCGATATCAAACCTCATAACATCTTGCTAGACGACAATTTCAATCCAAAAATTTCTGATTTCGGTCTGGCAAAACTTTGCTCCAAGGATCAGAGTGCTGTTTCCATGACTACAGCTAGAGGAACCATGGGGTACATTGCACCTGAAGTGTTCTCCAGGAACTTTGGGAATGTGTCCTATAAGTCAGATGTGTATAGTTTTGGTATGGTGTTGCTTGAAATGGTTGGAGGCAGGAAGACTGTCGATGATAAGATAGAGAACAACAACCAAATCTACTTCCCAGAATGGGTCTACAACAGCCTGGATAACGGAGAAGATCTGAGAATCAAAATTGAAAAGGAGGGAGATGCACAGATTGCAAAGAAGCTGACAATTGTAGGACTATGGTGCATTCAGTGGCACCCTGTGGAGCGTCCCTCGATGAATACTGCAGTTCAAATGTTGGAAGGAGAAGGAGACAAATTAACAATGCCTCCCAGCCCTTTTACTTCTTCAGATGCAGGAAGATTGAATGCCAAAATGCCTCGAAGACCTCTTCATCCAGCGCTGGAAGTGATCTCTGAGGGAGAGTGATGAGTGATCACCACACTGCTTTATGGTAGAAATTGCATTTTCAGGAGACTTCACCCAATTTGCAGACTCCAATAGCATTCAATGAAGTTGGATTTGGTCAAAGAACACTGAAAGAGGAAGGAGCCGTTATCTTTATCTCTTATTATGGTGGTATTGTAGAGGACTATTTGATGATTCTCTGAAGCTAGCTAGTAGAAATAGCAACCACAGTTTGGTGGATTCCCTAGTAGCTTTCAATAAATATGATCAATGTAGACAAAGTATGAATCTTTGAACTTCATTCTGTGATTCTCAAAGAGATAAGAACGGAGGTTGATTTCTTATGTTTCTCCCCTTTCCCCTAGACTGGAAAGGTTTAAGCCTAACTCCAATGGATATATTTGAATGTTCCAACAAAAAAAAAAATACCATCACTGCAAATGAGCCCCCCATCAAAAACATTGAGCTTCTGCAAATGGTCAGCATTTGCTTGTGCATTTCAACCACGAAAGGAGAGAACTTTTTTTGCTTTGCCTCAATTTTCTATGAGGATTCTTACATCTTAAATTCCTTCAAAGACGCTGGAAGGCTAGTTCAACACTAAAAATCCAGTTTAAGAACTTTGAGTTTTGATAAGGATGAATTATGTTGTAGTTCCTTTAGTCTTAGAAAATAGTGATGTTAGCCCTTCCACTTCAAATTTGGTCACTTAAAGACTTTTGACTTCCGATTATTCGTCAAACGGGTACTTCCATCCATGTCCGACGAAGTGGATAGTTTACTAACTCTGTTATGTTCGTAGAATTCAGGGTCTGATATGAGCAAAGTGGGCAGTTGAGGTTAAATATATTAAAATTAAATTAACAAAAAAAAAAAAGTTTTAGATCTAAATTTGAATATTGCCAATTTTTCTGTGGGGATGAATTACACGTGGTCCCTGTACTATTTTAGTTTGATTAATTGAGTCCCTCAACTACTAATTTAATTAATTCCTTCTGAGCCTAAATTTAATGTTTTCTCTAGCGATGGAAGAAGGATTCCTGCTTATCTAATCCATGGAAAATTTACAAAATTTGACTACAACGTATCCCAACATTTTTGTGACAATTGAATGCTTATCTAATCCATGGAAAATTTAAGTCCTGACTTTCCTAGCAATTTCACATCACTACCCCACACGCAAAAATATATTCCACAAAAAACATTGACCAAGTTCTTGATATATTTTCCACAATGTAAGTCAATGGAGTAAACTAAACAGAAATTACTCAGAAGAATCAAACCTCAAACTAGCTGTTCGAGATGACTTGACTTCATTTGCATGGCATTAATGGAGCTGAAAAGAACTTGTCTTTGGAAATGGATCTCTCTGTCTCTGTAGTTTGCTTGTTCATACTGGGCCTTGTAGGTTATGGAGTTGGGCTTGAAGATCTGTGCCAAGGGGTAAGAAACATGGTCCAACCATAAGATTTCCATTCAGATTCAAAGACCAGCAGGGTATCTTGGGTTTGATCTATCTTGCACTGAAAGAAAGAATGCATTGTTGGAGCCATCAATTTCTGGAAAACTCTACGTCAAGAAAATTAACCATGCATCACAGTTGATCATAGCTACTGACACAGATAAATGCCTCCCAAGAAAATTCAGAAACTTCAGTTTATCTACTTTGGTTTCTTTGGAAGTCCCAATTGTATCCTATGAAAACTTAAATTCTCAGATTAAAACCAACCCATTAGAGAACCGTTCTGGGTGAGTTGAGGGACCAATTTTTATTTTTTCAAAAATAATGGACCGATCTGTAATCAGAATCAAAATATAGGGACTAAAGAATAACTTTTTACTCTAATTTTTTTCTCTTTTTTCACCGAGATGACAAACTTAATTATAACTTTTTCCCGGTTCTTTCATGTTATCAAGCTATTAAATGCAAAGGCTGACGGACGTGGGACCTTTTAAATCTTTTTTAAAAAATTAAGTTTGAAAAAATAATATCAGTTCACGTGCAAATTAATTCGATGGTATTTTTTTATGAAAAAACTAGAGCTAGTAAGTTATAAATTATTTTTTCTAATTTTGAAGAACAAATTAATTAATCATTTTTGTTTAAAAAATAATTATTTAACTTTTATATTTTTTCAATTTTCTTGTCACTTAATTCTATTTTATTTTTTCGTTTCTTTTATTTTTTAATAAATAAGAAAAAAATAATTAATAAAAAATAGAAAAATTAATAGAAAAGATGACATTTTTTTAAATAAAGTAATATTAAATTAAGTATGATCAATATTAGTTAAATAACTAAATAATTAATTTTTAAAATAAAAAAGACTGACTAATTCATTTCTAAAAAATCAAAGGACTAATTTATAATTTACTCAAGCTAGTGCATGCTTTCTTTGTTCAAAAACAATTTATTTATTTTTTAAATAAAAAATAAAGCTTTAAAAAAACTAAAAAATAAAAGAAAAAGCTGTGGATTTCTTAAGGTGCCATATTTGACTCTTTCCTTTTTACCAAGCTGTTCAGCTCATTACTTCCCACCAAAAAGACAATATTCTAAAGTCAATGCCGCAAAAGGCAAACCACAATGAATGTTTTGAGATAAGATCTTTCGTAAGGGCATAGAGAGATGAATAGCACTGTTCTTGGACATGGATCTCTCTTTAGTTTTGTTGTTAATGCTGCTCCTTGTAGGTCATGGAGTTGGCCTTAAAGATCCGTGCCAAGAAGCAAGGTGTAAGAAGCATGGTCCAGTCATAAGATTCCCTTTCAGACTCAAAGGCAAGCAGCCAGGTCACTGTGGCTTTTCTGGGTTTGATCTATCTTGCACTGACAGGAAACAAACATTGTTGGGGCTGCCAACTTCGGTGAAACTCTACATCAATAATATTGACTATGCATCGCAGTTGATCACTGCAACTGACCCAGAAAACTGTCTTCCAAGACAGCTCTTGAAAATTAATTTATCCACATCTCCTTTTAAATTTGCAGAACGAATCCAGAGAGATGTGGACCTTTTCAACTGTACTTCAAGGCAGAGAAACGCTTATCTGGCAATGCCTTGCCTTAGTGTTCCTGGATTTGATATTTATGACTTGACTTCTGGTAGTATCGTCGCTGATTTCGACCTGACTTCTTGTACCAAGATGTATAATCTTTTATCAATTCCGAATGAAATACATAGCAGGGACAACATTCTTCATTTGAATTGGTCAAGACCGGCTTGTGGACTTTGTGGTGCACAAGGCAAGCTCTGCAGATTGAAGAATAACACTGCTAGGCTTGCGACTGAATGCTATGACAAGCCTAAATCAAATGAAGGTATAGTCTGTCTTGCACATTCTACTTTAATTTTTTGAATTCGATCTAAATTTGTGTGTTTATTTTAGAAATATTGTGTTATTTTCTTAGTTAAGAAAACAAGATCAAGTATTCATAAATTGAATTCTTGAAATTCCCATTAAAAAAAAAAAAACTGTTTAAATCCATCTCTTGACTGCATCATCTAGTTCTCGGATAATTGATAGTTTACACTTCTGCTGCTGCATTCGGTCTGTCCGTCCTGCTGATTTCATTTGCCGAAGACTAGTGTTTTGGTTGTTGTTTAGCTCAGGTGTCTGTTTTGTGATTAAGGCATTGAGGTGGATAAGGTCTGCCTTTATAATGATGGGTTCAAGTGGTCTGCGGAGAGTTCAGGTTGGTAATGGTTGAAGGCGTTGTCAGAGGAGATGGTGATCTTGCAAGACGAGTTGTCATGGGTATAATGCAGGTTGATTGGTGGGGGATTAGTTGGTTAAGGCGGAATGGATTTTCTAGTTTTGAGCTACTGTTACTTGCAGAGTCATATTGGAGCTTGGAGTTCAAGGCAATTAAGGTGGATTTTGGTGATGGATATAGAATTTGGGAGATGGCGATTCTGGTGAATTTTAAGCAATTGAGACTATTGTCAATTGTGAGAGTAGCACCAGCAGTAGCAGTAGGAGGCTAGGAGCAGTTATAGAGGTTTTGGCAAGCAGCAGCATGAATTTTTTATATGGTCATATTTATGATGTTCAAGAACTCCATAGTGAGTTGTTCTTTGATATTCGGTGGGATTTGCACAGTTTTTCTCCTTATTTGCAGCATTTATAAAGTATATCAGCCTATCGAAGGTAAAATTTTCTTAGTTGGAAACAAATCTGCCCATTTGTCGGTAGGTGGTCTGTGTTGATAAATGTTGAGCATCAGTTGCTTGTACTAATTAGTCAAGGTTTCATAGAAGCCATGAAATATGATTATCAAATGTCATGCTGGTGAGAAGCTAATAATTCCATTTTCTTGTACAGGCTTAATAAAAAAGATGGTGGCTGCAGGTGAGATTTCTCCAAATTTGGCATTCTGAACTTCTTTCGTTGTCTTGCATCTGCTAAACTACCTAGAATGTGTTTTCTTGACGAGAAATGTTTCATATGCAGTTACAACTGTGGGTTCGGTTCTTCTGCTGCTGGTATTATTTGCAGCCTACCGGGTCTACAGCTCTGATAAAGCAGCAAAAGAACATCAGAAAAGGATTGAAAAGTTTTTAGCAGATTATAAAGCTCTCAAGCCCATCAGATACACATATGCTGACTTAAAAAGGATTACGAATGATTTTAAGGATAAGTTGGGTCAGGGAGCATATGGAACTGTATTTAAAGGAAAGCTTTCTGATGAGATCTTTGTTGCTGTGAAGATCCTGAACAGCTCAACAGGGAATGGAGAAGAGTTCATTAATGAAGTGGGAACAATGGGAAGAATCCATCATGTCAATGTTGTTCTCTTGGTTGGTTATTGTGCTGACGGATTCCGAAGAGCTCTAGTTTATGACTACCTGCCAAATGAATCACTAGAAAAATTTGTATCTTCAGAAAACGGCAACACCATCCTGCTTAGTTGGGAGAAGCTTCAGGATATTGCTCTTGGCATAGCCAAAGGAATAGAGTATCTTCACCAAGGTTGTGATCAGCGAATCCTCCATTTCGATATCAAACCTCATAACATCTTGCTAGACGACAATTTCAATCCAAAAATTTCAGATTTTGGTCTTGCAAAACTGTGCTCCAAGGATCAGAGTGCTGTTTCAATGACTACGGCTAGAGGAACCATGGGGTACATTGCACCTGAAGTGTACTCCAGGAACTTTGGGAACGTGTCCTATAAGTCAGATGTGTATAGTTTTGGAATGGTGTTGCTTGAAATGGTTGGAGGAAGGAAAACAGTCGATGATAAAGTAGAGAACAACACCCAAATCTACTTCCCAGAATGGGTCTACAACAGCCTGGATAAAGGAGAAGAGCTGAGAATCAGGATCGAAAAGGAGGGAGATGCACAAATTGCAAAGAAGCTGACGATTGTTGGACTATGGTGCATTCAGTGGCAACCTGTGGAGCGTCCCTCGATGAATACTGTAGTTCAAATGTTGGAAGGAGAAGGAGACAAATTAACGATGCCTCGTAGCCCTTTTTCTTCGCCAGGTCCAGGAAAAATGAATGCCAATATGCCTGGGAGATCTCTTCATCAAGTTTTGGAAGTAATCTCTGAAACAGAGTGACCATAGAAAATGATCAATAGTACACAACTTCTTTAGCAGGGGTTTAAACCTTACTAGTTTGATTAACTCCGCTTCAAATCTTGTCAATGAAGTAGAAAAAAGAGTAAAGACTAGATGCAACCATTGGATTAAGTGTTACAAATTAATACAAGAATCTGTCTTACCAAAAAAGAGAACATTCCTCTTAGCTACCAACTTCAGTGAAATTTCTCATTATGAAAATTTGGTTACATGCTTCCCATTTGATCAATGTAGAATCTATGTACGAACTGATGGTTCTTCTGGAAAAAGAACAGGCTTGGGAGGTATTTCTAAGCTTTCAATCTCTAGTTCAAGCATCTCTACAATTTCGTTCCTCAGAGGACGATTATTAGGCTTCATCTGTATGCACCACAATGCTACTATGATCATTTTCTTTGCTATTTTCTTTTCATCTTCTGCTGCATCTCCAATTTCAATCCTTTCATCAACTATTTGCTTATAAACCCAGAAAGGGAAGAAATTTTTACTGGAATTCTCTGCCACCGGATTTGTATTCTTTCTTTTTAGAGGACAGCATGCTTCATTTGAATTGGTCAAGACCATCATGTGGACTTTGACTTTGCGGTGCACAAGGCAAGTTCTGCAGATTGAAGAATATTTATGCCAGGCTTCAAACTGAGTGCTATGACAAGTACAAATTAAATGACGGCATAGTCAGTTTCTTGCAGATAATCTAAATTTTCCTGTTTATTTTGTAACTTATCCTAAAAATTAATTAAAAAAAAAAATCTATGGCAGTGGCAGCAAATCTGTCCATTTATCAGTAAGCAGACTAGTCGATAGATGTTGTGAATCAGTAACTTGTACCAGTTAGTCATGATTTCAAAGAAGCCATGAATTATCATCGTCAAATCTCATGCCATTGAGAATCTAATGATACCATTTTCTTTGACAGGCATCATAAAAATGATCGTGGCTGCAGGCTAGATTTCTCAAAATTCAGCATTTTTAAATTCGTTCCTTATCTTGCAGCTGGTAAACTATCTTGAACGTTCGAGTTCTTGAATGCAAATGTTTGATGTTCGGTTCTTTTAATGCTGGTAGTTTTTGCAATCTACTACGTTTACAGCTCAGATAAAGCAGCAAAAGAAAATCCGGAAAGTGTTGAAATTTTTTCGGCAGATAATAAAGTTCTCAAGTCCACTAGGTACACTTAACACATATGCTGACATAAAAAGGATTACGAGTGAATTTTCAAGTACAAACTAGGTCAGGCAGCATATGGTACTGTGTTTAAAGGACAGCTGTCTAATGAGATCTTTTTTGCTGTGAAGATCCTGAACAGAAACTCAACGGGGAATGGAGAAGAGTTCATCAACGAAGAGGAAACAATGGGAAGAATCCATCCTGTCAACGTTATTCGCTTAATCGTTTACTGTGCTGATGGATTTAGGGGAGCTCTTGTTTTTGACTACCTGCTTAATGAATCATTAGAGAAATTTATTTCTTTGGAACATGGCGCCTCCCCTCTTAGTTGGGAGAAGCTTCAAGATATTGCTGTTGGCATAGCCAAAGGAATTAAGAGTTTCTTCACCAAGTTTGTGATCAGCGAATCCTCCATCTTGACATCAAACCTCGTAATTTCTGATTTTGGTCTAGCAAAGCTTTGTTCCAAGGATCAGAGTGCCATTTCCAAGACTACAGCTCGAGTAACCTTGGGTTATACTGCACCTGAATTTTCTCTAGGAACTTCGAAGTGTTTCCTATAAGTCAGTGTTTATAGTTTTGGAATGGTGTTGCTGGAATGGTGTTTCCTTCGAAGTGTTTCCTGGAATGGGTCTATGGAAGGGAGAAGAGCTGAGACTCAGAATCGAAAAGGAGAGAGATGCGTAAATAGTGAAAAAGCTGACAATTGTAGGACTAGGTGCATCAAGTAGCAACCTGTGGGTCGTCTCTCCATGAATACCGTAGTTCAAATGTTCGAAGGAGAAGGAGACAAATTAACAATGCCTCCTAGGTCATTTGCTTCGGACCAGGATAAGTGAATGCAAATATGCCAAGGAGACCTCTTCATCAAGTGTTGGAAGTGATCTCTGAAACAAAGCTATTGGATTTCTGCTGTCAGAATTTGTTTCAAACTCTTAACTCTTCCGCTTAAAAGAGGGCAACTTCCACTTGCTGATATTGGGCCTCAATTTGAATGTTGTTAGTCTAACTGAACAAACCTCATGTTTATTTTAAACTTCCCAACTTCAAGCTACTTAGCTAGGCCTAGCACTTGGTAACCTTTTTTTTCTTTTTTCTTCCATCTCTTTCAGTTTTAAAGGCTTTAGCCTCGGAAACATTTTAATTTGTTTATCTATCTATTATACCCAAATACACTATCCCAATTATTTTTTCTAACTGATAAATTAGTGCTTCGAGTTGTTCTGTCTTATAATTGATAGTTTACACTTCTGCTACTGCATTCGGTCTATCTATCCTGCTTATGCCATTTGCAGAAGGCTGGAGTTTTGGTTCTTGTTTAGCTCAGGTTTCCTGTTTTGTGGCTGAGGCATTGAGGTGGATAAGGTCTGCATGTATGCTGATGGGTTATAGTAGTCTAAAAAGAGTTCAAGTTGTAAGGGTTGAAGGGGTTGTCAGGGGACTAGTAAGAGGAGATGGTGATCTTGCGAGAGGAGTTATCTTGCATATGGTAGGGGATTAGTTTGACTTCAATGCAATCAAGGTGGATATCGATGATGTATATAAAATTTGGGAGATGGTGATTTAGGCGAAGCTTGGGCAATTGAGACCATTGTCAATTGTGGGACAGCAACAACTGTTGGAAACTTTGGAATGATCTTGAAGAAGAACATAATTATGTAGTGCTTAATTGCATGTATAAAATACCTCACGCTGTTCTTAAGGTGATTATTGCCCCTACTATAACGCTACAAGGATTTTAGTAATTCACCTCTAGGATACAATTTTGCACACAAGGAACTACGAGCAACACTCCTAAAATTCCTTCAAGAGAATATCTCTTAAATTTGTAGAGTTTTAAAAGGAAAAGAATTTTGAGAGGAGAGGAGGATTGCGAGAGAAAAAATTAATTGATTTTGTCCTGTGCGGTAATCCCTTATTTATAGATTACTAACAACCTTTCATAACATACGTGATTGTTGATTCCAACGAGTCATAATTGGTCGATTCTAGCAATCACAATCAAACGAGTTATAACCATTGGATTCTAACGGACATAACTATTAGATTCTAATAGTCACAATCCAATAGTCATAACTATTGAATTCTAACAAACATAACTATTAGAGCCAACTATTATGTTTGTTTGAAAACTATTAATAATTAACTAACTACAATAGAAAATTAAAAATACTTTTAAATTTCGTTTATAGCACACTTAACTTATTATCTACCATCTTTAAGATTTCTAA